GTGAGTACCCTCTTTTTGCCTCGTTCGACCTCTGTCCAGACCGCCCTTTTCTAACATGTGACGGGAAGAGTATCTTGTATGATATGATATTGTTGCCCCAGCCATCACATTTATCAGTTTTTTTGTCCTGATTTTAGTGCTAACCCTAATTTTTCTTGAATTAGGACTTACCATATAAATTTTAGGAATTTTGAAAGCTTCTAGCACACTAAAAAGCTAGGCGAGAAGGCACGTGTCATCCAAGTAAGTAACCCTACAGACTTTAGGCAAGTAATACTTATAGGGATCACTAAGACGTGTTAGCATGCGAGCATTCCTTACCTTAGGTGGTTAGCGAGTGTATTTTAATGACTTCGGAAGGGCATTTTTGGATGAGTATGTACTATATGTATGTTATGGTAAAATTAACATTATGCCCCTAGGTTGAGATTTTCGAGTAGCATGTTGTGTTGTGTATTATGCAAAGCTAGAAATAGAATAGCATGACTAGAATACGAGTTGAGCAATATGGATGAGTATGTTATGCATGATGTAAGAATTACTAGAATGCCCCTGATGGGATTTATGATGAATGCTACTATGTACGATTTTTGCTGTGTTAAAAAGGAGGATGAGTTGTGGCGATTTGTGCTCTTGGTGATTGATGGATGTTATCTTCTCGTTGAGCTTATTTGCTTGTTTGTTTGCATGAGTGTTTTAGTTTATGTTTCAAGGCTTTAGGTGACCGAAATGATATCTCCCTACTAAAATTGCACATATGATTAGGTTATGTATACGATGCTTCAGGTGATCGATAGGATAATCTCCCTAGCAAAGCATGCACAAGAGAACCAAGTTAAGGCTATGGTGCTAGAGCTAGAGCAATTTTGAGTTGACCCAGATCAATATGTTTCTAGAAGACTCTGCACCCCAAGATCGTGAGGTCTAGTCCTGTGTGCATCAAGAGAGTGGATTAGTTCGAGGAGTTAACCCTAAACATCGTGAAAACGAGAGAAGAGATTTCAACCGTCTAGATCCCCTAAGAACCTAGTAGACCTTCACATCATCCAAGGATAACCAAGGTAACTCTTCAAAGTTGATAGTGGTGTGACTGTGTCGTCAGAGTCTTCAGTACCCCAATCGTTAAGGTAGGCATAGGTTATAGAGGGGAGTTGTGTTGAGATGACTAGGTGCCCTAAACATTAGAAATGCCAACGGTCTCCTAAACAGGGTCTCCATGTCGTAAACCCGTTCTTGAGAGAGGGGCATGGGACAACATAAGTTAATCTAGTAGTTGGTCGGCACACAAAGGGGTTGCTTTTCCAAGCTTTGGTGACTTTATGGTCTCGTAGGAGGGTCCGCCAGCTAACCTTCTATGGATGATGTTCATACTGGCAAACAGTATACTGTCCCTACAGAGTATACGAGGTCATGTCTCAACCCAGGTCACCGGTCATTCACTGCGTAAGCAAAACACGCTATCTAGGTCAAAGAGAAGAAAAATTGTAGCAACTCAGCAAGTCAAAGGTAGCCTCTAGCCCATTAACCGTTGGTACGACGTCAATAGAGTTTTCACGTCCCTTTCCATTCCTGTACCAATACCATTGAGCCAAGCCTAGCCCGATTAGGATTGTGTGACAAACAATTCAATTGGATTAGCCTGCACAGCAGATCTGTCCTAAAAGGGGACGTAGGATTATGCGGGTAATCTTAGTAGCTAGCAAGCACATGGGGATTGCTCCCCCAACCTTGAGTGACTAGATGGTGACTAGATGGTCCAGTGGCCAGGGCTCGCTAGCTAATGTCCTATGGATAACAAGAGCAGGCTAGCACATACCATACTGTCCCCACAAGGAGAGAGTTTTACGAGGTAGAGGCTCGACCCAAGACACCCGTTACACATTGCTTAGGGAGAACAAGCTACCTAAGTCTAATAATAGAAAAGTAGTACACCCCATGATGAGATTTGCAACCCAAAAGACCTCTGATGGCATAAATGGGTGAATCACCCCCTCCGTAACCAGAGTGGGTCTGTAAGCAGCTAAGGTATTGCCCGAAACTTCCAGCCACCCGAAATGCTTTGATACTAGCAGAGACTAGGTCCAAACCTAGAGTAAAATCTGTGGATACCTATTAGGATAAGCATATTTGCAAGTTTTTCCCTTTCTTTTTCAGGTATTTGCAAGTTGTCAATCGAGGTAGAGGAGCATGTTGTGAGATCGCATAGGAGGTCGTTCCAAAGCGTCAATCCGTCTTTGTGTTATAGTCTTTCATATTCCGTTTTGTAATTATATCCCAAACCCATTTCCCCATTTATAATAAATTTGAAAAGCCCTATATTACAATTAAATTTTATTTTCTATTTAGTTTTGGTGTTATCGATACGTTATTCTTAAATTTCATCGAATTTTCATCTTTTATTTTCATTTTTATTTTTATTTATTTCCACTTTCATTTTTTTAGTCTCGATCCAGATTTCAAAATCTCGAAATTTAGGTCGTGACAAACTCTTTCGTAGAGTTTTATCATACTATATATATACTAATCGTAACATTTAAAACTATATAAACTAAAATTTAACTCGAACTAAATTTATAATTTAATCTATCCAAATCTTTTAACTTTTAACCATCAACTTCTTGGAAAATTACCATCAAAGTGGGAATATTAACCACCAAATTACTCAAAGTCAAACAATTGATCATGCAATTCATTAAGATTCTTGTAACTAGCACCAAAAAAAAGAAAGAAAAAAACCCTTTATGTCTTCATCTCTCTTATTTGTCAAAAACACAATGGACACAATTTTTCATCCATTCCCTTGTGCCACTCATTCCCATGTCCTATCAAGCACCCATATCAACACCAAAATCCTTTTAAAAAAGATACCCAACCCAAATTTTTAACCTACAAAATCAAATCAACTTCACCATCCAAATTTAATAAAAAACCGCTAAATAATACGGACTACCTCTAAGTTATGAGACAGATTTCAATCATACCCATGTTCTAAATAATACGGACTACCTCTAAGTTATGAGGCAGATTTTAGTCGTACTCATATGCTAAATAATATGAACTACCTCTAAGTTAGAGTTATGAGTCAGATTTCAATCGCACCCATATGCTAAATAATACGAACTTCCTCTAAGTTATGGGGCAAATTTCAATCATACCCATATGCTAAATAATATGTACTACCTGTTATGAGTCAGATTTCAATCATACCGATATGTTAAATAATACGAACTACCTCTAAATTATGGGGCAAATTTCAATCATACCCATATGCTAAATAATACGAACTACCTCTAAGTTATGAGGTAGATTTCAATCATACCTATATACTAAATAATACGAACTACCTCTAAGCTATGGGGCAGATTTTAATCATACTCATATACTAAATAATACGAACTACCTCTAAGTTATGGGGCAAATTTCAATCATACCCATATACTAAATAATACGAACTACCTTTAAGTTATGGGGCAGATTTTAATCATACCCATATACTAAATAATACGAACTACCTCTAAGTTATGGGGCAGATTTCAATCATACCCATATACTAAATAATACGAACTACCTCCAAGTTAGGGAGGCAGATTTCAATCATACCCATACATTAAATAATACGGACTACCTCTAAGTTATGGGGCAGATTACAGTCATACCCATATATTAAATAATATAGACTACCTCTAAATTATGAGGCAGATTACAATCATACCCATATGCTAACGGACTACTTCTAAGTTATGAGGCAGATTTCAATCATACCCATGTGCTAAATAATACGGACTACCTCTAAGTTATGAGGCAGATTTCAGTCGTACCCATATGCTAAATAATATGAACTACCTCTAAGTTAGAGTTATGAGTTAGATTTCAATCGCACCCATATGCTAAATAATACGGACTCCCTCTAAATTTTTGGGCAAATTTCAATCATACCCATATGTTAAATAATACGTACTACCTCTAAGTTATGGTTCAGATTTCAATCATACTCATATGCTAAATAATACGGACTACCTCTAAGTTATGGGGCAGATTTCAATTATACTCATTTACTAAATAATACTGACTATCGCTAAGTTATAGGGCAAATTTCAATCATACCCATGTGCTAAATAATACAAACTACCTCTAAGTTATGGGGCAGATTTCAATCATACCCATATACTAAATTACGAACTACCTCCAAATTATGGAGGCAAATTTCAATTATACCCATATGTTAAATAATACAGACTACCTCTAAGTTATGGGGCAGATTTCAATCATAACCATATAATAAATAATACATACTACCTCGAAGTTATAGGGCAAATTTCAATCATACCCATATGCTAAATAATACATGCTACTTCTAAGTTTTGGGACAGATTTCAATCATACCCATATGCTAAATAATACGGATTACCTCTAAGTTATTGGGCAAATTTCAATCATACTCATATGCTAAATAATACAGACTACTAAGTTATGGGACAGATTTCAATCATACCCATATACTAAATAATACGGACTACCTCTAATTTATGGGGCAAATTTTAATCATACCCATATGCTAAACAATACCGACTACTTCTAAGTTTTGGGGCAAATTTCAATCATATCCATATACTAAATAATACAGACTACCTCTAATATATGGGGAAATTTTAATCATACCCATATGCTAAATAATACCGACTACCTCTAAGTTATGAGTCAAATTTCATTATCATTTTATTCTTCGATCTTTAAAGCTCTTAAAAGAATAGTTGAAAAGCTTTTATACAAAAATGAGAAACAAATATTACACCCGTTAGAAGCTTAAGATCACAGTTAGAACTGATTTCAATTCAAACGATATTGCTCGCATTATTAGTAACATTCTTTGTTCATCATTGTTGTGTTAGAAATGTATCAATTATGGGTTGGTCTCGATTTCCACATGTTGTCAAGAACAAATTCATGTCCAAACGAGCAAAGGCTTAAACAGCGCCACTTTTATAGTGTACTCTGTTCATCTTTTCTCTCCATTTCTCCCTGTTCTAGTTCTGTACAAACCCACTTGTTCATACTCCCATTATTTTTCTCTTTAATCCCCTTGACGTTTTCCTCTCTCCAACAAAACCCCCACGCTTATCGCAATTTCTCTCGCTCTCCTTCTTCACCTTTCTCATTTTCATTCAATTTCTTCTTCACCCATCACTCTTAACCCTAAATCCTGCTCACCCATCTCCCTCTAATGGCTTCCCACTGTCAAAAAAGCTACCTCCGCCCCGATTCTACGCCTCATCTCAACGGCGACACCGATACCCACTTGCCCAAAAAGCCCAAAATCGCACCCACTTCCATTTCCGACTCAGAAATTCAATCCGAGTTCGCCCACCATGACCTCTCCGTTGCTCGGATCAACAACGGCAGCTTCGGCTGTTGCCCTTCTTCTGTCATTTCCGCTCAACAACAATGGCAGCTCAAGTTTCTCCGGCAGCCGGATTACTTCTACTTCAACGAACTAAAGAAGGGGATTCTTGAATCCAGAACTATAATCAAGGATCTCATCAATGCCGAACATATCGATGAAGTCTCTATTGTCGATAACGCCACCACTGCGGCTGCTATTGTTCTTCAGAAAATCGCTAGGGATTTTGCCGAGGGGAGATTCCAGAAGGGTGATGCGGCGGTGATGCTTCATTATGCGTATGGTGCTGTGAAGAAATCGGTAGAGGCATATGTTTCTCGAGCTGGTGCGTATGTTATTGAGGTTCAATTGCCTTTTCCTGTTGAATCTAATGATGAAATCATATGTGAATTTCGTAAGGCTTTAGAGAGAGGAAAGGCTAATGGTAGGAAAGTTCGTTTGGCTGTGATTGATCATATTACATCAATGCCTTGTGTGGTTATTCCTGTTAAGGAATTGGTAAAAATCTGTAGGGAAGAGGGTGTTGATCAAGTGTTTGTTGATGCTGCTCATGCTATTGGGTGTACTGATATCAATATGCAAGAGATTGGTGCTGATTATTACACTAGTAACTTGCATAAATGGTTCTTTTGTCCACCTTCAATTGCTTTCTTGTACTCTAGGAGGTCCCCAAGTCTCTCTGATTTGCATCATCCTGTTGTTTCTCATGAATATGGTAATGGGTTAGCCATAGAAAGTGCTTGGATTGGAACTAGAGATTATAGTTCTCAGTTGGTCGTGCCTTCGGTTTTGAAGTTCGTTAATAGGTTTGAAGATGGGATTGAGGGAATCAAAAAGCGGAATCACGAGGCTGTTGTGAAGATGGGAGAGATGTTGGTAGAGTCGTGGAAGACGCGTCTTGGTTGCCCGCCGAGTATGTGTGCGAGTATGATCATGGTGGGGTTGCCTTCATGTTTGGGTATCTCGAGTGAATCTGATACTATGATGTTGAGAACGCATTTGCGTGAAGAATTTAGAGTTGAAGTTCCGATATATTATCGCGCTCCGAGGAAGGGGGAAACTGGTACTATAACGGGGTATGCACGGATTTCTCATCAAGTGTACAACAAGTTTGAGGATTATGTTAAGTTGAGAGATGGAATCAATGAACTTGTTCGAGCTGGCTTCACCTGTGCTGAGCTCTCGAAATGAGGACGGAAGAGGTATGGCTTCTTTTGCTTCTATGTATATGGTTAATGAAATTTATGGAGCTATTATTAGAAGTGATGCTATAAGGCAGCTGTTCTTGTTTTTGCACAAAGTCTTGCCGAATCGTGCATGAATATACGATTAGAACACTCATTTTATTGGGCAACTTACTCTTAGTTATGTAGCCTGTAACAGTCCAAGCTCACCGCTGGTAGATATTGTCCTCTTTAGACTTTTTCTTCCAGGCTTCCCCTCAAGGTTTTAGAACGTGTCTGGTAGAGAGAATTTTTCACACCCCTATAAACAATGCTTCGTTTTCCTCTCCAACCAATGTGGGATCTCACAATCCATCCCTCTTGGGGGCCAGTGTCCTCGCTGGCACACTGCCCGGTGTTTGGCTCTGATATCATTTGTAATAGCCCAAGCCCAACGCTAGTAGATATTGTCCTCTTTGAGCTTTTCTTTCTGGGCCACCCCTTAAAGTGGTAATGATGGGGACAGGAACGGGAATAGCTTTTCCATCCCCATCCAGTCTCGTGAACATCTCTAGAGACAAGTGTCGTACAGAAACATAAGGCGAGTTTAGGAGGCCTACCTAAGTCTGGTCAAAGCCTAGAGACGAGTATAGATGCATCTTTTTCTAATTTATATTACTTTTTTAGTCTGTTCATGTCAGTTTGAGATCTTGTATTGTCCCCACCTGTGGCATGAATGTGGACCCAACAGGTTGACTTACAATAATTGGGAAAGAAAATTGTCATAGTCCTAGAATTTAACTAAATTAGATGTGAACTTTAAGGAACATCTCTGTCGTGTTGGTAGTTACAAGTACAGTTTCTGTTTGAATAAATGTTCTCTAAGGAATTAGTTAGTTGTCTGATAACATGTAGCAACAGCATCCTCCAATTCCTTAAATATGCCTCCCTTCTTTTAGGGGGTGAAGACATAAGGCTTGTGATGCTGTCAAAATGAACAGACTTAGCATAAGTCGTACCTTGGCGTCGAGAGGTTTCGTACTCTCGAGTCCCAACCCGTCCCTTCTTACCTTACTCTATAGCCCCTCTTGTATCCTCCTGTATTTTCTCATCGATATGTGATGCTCATTTGTGGCTTGGCGTTATTCATATCAGCTTGTTTGATCGTTGAGTGTAGAAACTATTACTATAACAGCCCAAGCCCACTACTAGCCGATATTGTCCTTTTTGGGCTTTTCTTTCCTGACTTTCTCTCAAGGTTTTAAAACGCGTTTGCTAGGGAGAGGTCTCCACACCCTTCTAAAGAATGTTTTGTTCCCCTCTCTAACCGATGTGAGATTTTACAATCCACCTCCCTTCGGGGCCCCGCATTCTCACTGGCACTCGTTCCCTTCTCCAATCGATGTGGTACCCCCAATCCACTCCCATTCATGGCCCAGCGTCCTTGCTGGTACACTGCCTAGTGCCCACCTCCTTCGGGACTCAGCCTCCTCACTGGCACATTACCTAGTGTCTGGCTCTGATACCATATGTAACAACCCAAGCCCACCGCTAGTAGATATTGTCTTTTTTAGCCTTTCCCTTAGAGCTTAAAACGCGTCTGCTAGGAAGAGGTTTTCACGCCCTTATAAAGAATGCTTCATTCTCCTCTCCAACCAATATGGGATCTCACAATTACGTTCTTTGGAAGTAGTTGTGTGATTCAAAAAGCTCGGAATCGGTTTGGTTTGGATGCTTATTTCGTACAATACATTCTAAAAACTACTTATAAGGGTAATGATTAGATAAGCTATAATATTATATAATATCAAGACTATGTGTACACCAACAGACCCATGATTTTTGGAAGGACAACTTTAACTATTATTAAAAAACAGACCTAACATGGTTTGGTCTGATTTTCTGTTCTTAGAAACTAGATTTGTTTTTCAAGATTCAAGTCTTCTGTCTGATTTTAGGGGTAGAAGATGATTAGAACGATCAGATGAAAGTCGTGCATTTTAGTGTTCGGGTCGGAGTCGATGATATCTTTCAGTTCGCTATTTCTGTACTGCATTTTCCATTGACAAGTCGTTTTCGATCTCTCTGCCCATACAGCAAGGTTTATAAAAGCGGCCCGCGGTGTTCGTCGTCTGCTGCACAGCCATGGTTTCGAAACGCCATGGGCACACCCCCAAACACTTCAAAGGTGGATGCACCAAGCAGAGAATAATGTCATTATCTTTTTAATGACTGAAATGAAAGTCGTAGAGGACAATGGTTGTTGTACATGTTCGAATCTCGCCCTTTCGACTCTTGAACTTTCAAACGATGTACCGTGTTTTGAGCATACATATGAGTAAAGGTCATATGATGTAGACTGGACTGTAAGTTTAGTAGTTTTCGAGTTCTCGAGTTCTCGAGTTTCCATGCAGCAAGTGATTTTGTATGCTCCATCTTAATTGACGGCAGATTTTAATGAATTGCAGTTTCATATATTGTGAGATCTCATTCTTTAGTTCAAACTAATTCATTTCTTTTGTTTAGATAGTTGACTTTTTTGTTGACTTTTTTTTTAATTTAGTCTAACTAAAATATCAAGATTCTCGAAATTTCTCGTTTGACCGAGATGTGAATGTCCATGATTCGCTCGGAGGTGAGCGATAAGCATATGAGGCATGTCTGAAGGGCTGCAACTAAATTTGGTATCGTGATAATGCTTTCTCTTTCCCTACCTAAATCAGATCGAAGAATCGAGAAGTTGAGCCCATGATCTATTTTACAACAAAATGTTATAAGATTGGATAGTTGTGAGATTTTTCTAAGCCTACGTACGAGTTTTCTAACTAGAAATTGTGAATAAGAGAAGAAAACGTCTATTGGGTATCCGAGTAATAAAAAAAGGTTTAGGTTGAATGTTGAGCTCAACTAGGGGCGAGTCAGCTGGGTCTTTCCTATTCTGTTCCCGCCACGAGAAAGACAAACAAAGAAGGTGATTGAGCTTCTCTATCTTTCATTTTCTTCGAGATTAAGCCCCCACCTCGAGCTCACATGCTCCAATGGGATGATTTTTTTGACTCTCAATAGTTAGATACAAGTCTATATAACATAAAAACGCTCCATTTTTTTTTATAGGTTTGTTTGCTTGGTCTTAATCAAGATAGGTCAGGGGCGCATCGGCTCGACGAGTGGGTCTTGCAGTCAAGCTCCCTTCTGCCTAGATAGAACTAAAAAAATACGGACATTTGTGCATTCAACGCGAAAATTGTTATGGAGCAATTACAACCCAAAAAGTAGTCAGAACCCCACCCCTTTCATTTTTGATTGCATAAGACATTCATTTGACTTTCCATTAATGCACAATTTCCGTGCAACTATGCCTTCTTTAGTCCCTGCTATGCCAGCAATAGGGAGTCCTTAGAAAATCGGAAGGAGAAAGAATATGCTTTACCGAGTGAAAGAATAGTGAAACTACGAGAGATTTTTATACTTAGCTTAGTTCATGTTAACGAAAATAAGGTGAACTTTCTGATGATAATCTCCCGCACGACGCAAAAGTGAACATATACTCTTTTCTTGTAGTTGAAGTTACAAATTTCCATACTCCACCGTTCCACTAAAAAAAGATTTTTTTTACATGATTTCTTCGAGTTCAAATCATAACCATGTTCTTTTCGATCCTTCTATTAATTGCATTGACTTTAAATATAATATTTAGTAAACAACGATATATAGAAATATTAGAAAAACGAGCGATAAGAGTGCAAATTTATCAAAAGTCTAAGGTTTTAAAATTAAAAAAAAAAATACATTTTTTTTTGGATGGGTTGGTTAAGAGTTTTATTTATGATGCATGATAAAAAAATGTCTGATAATCAAATAACTGTGTTGGGTGTTACATGATACATGTTATAGAACTCGAAATATTAATTATAAATACCATATTTTAAAAAATAAATATAATTTATTTATTTCACTCGTTCCCGACTCTTTTATAAACCCCGACTCTTTTATAAACCATTTAAAATGATTGATAAATACAAATATTATTTTTTATCAATAAAAAAAAAATAGCGAAAAAAATCCAAAACCACAAAAACAACACAAATAATTGAAAAAATAAAATAAATTAAAAGGTTATTAAAAAAAAAACAATAATAAACATAAATATCAAGAAAAAAAAATGAAAGAAATCGAGAAAAATAAATCATGGAAGGAATATGTGACATGGGTCGGGTGGAAAACGAACCACCATTTACAGGGGTGTGGAAACCTTTCCTAGTAGACGCGTTTTAAAACTTTAAGGGAAAGTCCAAAAGGAAAAGTCCAAAGAGGACAATATCTGCTAGCGGTGGATCTGAGCCGTTACAAATGGTATCAGAGCCAGGCATCTGACGATGTGCCAGTCTTCTCGCTGTTCCCCAAAGGGGGGTAGACACGAGGCAGTGTGCCAGCCTTCTCGCTATTCCCCGAAAGGGGTAGACACGAGACGGTGTGCTAGTAAGGACACTGGCCTGTGCCAGACACCAGATGATGTGCCAGCTTTCTTGTTGATCCCCAAAAGGGGGTAGACATGAGGCAGTGTGCCAAACACCGGACGATGTGCCAGCTTTCTTACTGTTCCCTGAAGGGGGGTAGACACGAGGCGGTGTGTCAGTCTTCTCGGTGTTCCCCGAAGGGAGGTAGATACGAGGCGGTGTGCAAGTAAGGACACTGGCCTATGCCAGACACTCGACGATGTGCCAGCTTTCTTGCTGTTCCCCAAAGGGGATAGACACGAGGCGGTGTGCCAGTAAAGACGCTGATCTCAAAGGGGGTGGATTATGATATCCCACATTAGTTGGGGAGGAGAACATGTATCCACTTCGTCGACGCTACAAAAGTACGAATGCTCATTTTATTCATTGTACAAGAGATTCATCATTGTTATCGAACAATTCATTAAAACTTATGGTACGAACAAAGTGAATATACGTTATCGTAGTACTAGAAATTTTTTCAAACCCGATCAACTCAAACGACCTAGCGCAAACCAAACCAATCTAAGGTATAGCATGGCGTGTAGCAATGAGAGCCAAAACTTCGGTTTGGAATTTTGCCGCGCTTCCCCACTCGAATCAAACTCACAAACCACACAAATCTCAGCTTCGAAATTCGTCCTTTTCCCCCCAAACCCAAGGCTCGGGAATCTTCAGAACCGAACCTAAATCCACCCCGTTCCTTTGCTGTCGCCCTCTTCTGTCCGCTACTCGATTCAAACTCCAATACTGACAAAAACCAAATTTCAAATCCCTCCATCAAATCAAATGGGTTCCCGTAATTCACTTCTCCACTGTTCGTCAAGAAAGTAAAAAATGGCGAACGGATCATTACCCTAATCCTTAATTCTGCTACACAAATGAAGACGAAGAAGACGAACAGCCCGCGGCTCTCTGTTTTTATCTGTAAGTTCTGATATGGGTTTTGTTTTTTAGGGGAGGAAACTCATTGTGGGGTCATGGATATTCATTTTCCCTTGTCGTTTGACTGATTTCTTGAGCCGAATTTTCCCGAGAAAATTCTGGGTTTGTCTTCTACGATGTAAATCCATATGGGTTTTAAAGATCTGATGAAAATTTGAATGAAATTTCGTCAAACGTGTTGTAATTTACGAGTTTCAATCATTTATTTCTTTATTCTCTATTCGTCGACCTATATTATTAAATGCACGCAACTGCCCTCTCCCACATGCAGATGCATCACTTTAGGTTTCACATAGCATCCTCGTGAGACCATTTATTGCGGGTCTTACAAAATTTCTTGGATGAACTTGTATAGAAATAGCTTGAGGCTAATTTCTTGGATCCAAATATTGTTGTTCTACCCATGTCTGTTCTTGAGGTTGATCCATTGCTGAAGGATTTGAATGAGAAGAAACAGAGTTTTAGGAGAAATGTTGTGTCGTTGGCGGCGGAGTTAAAGGAGGCTCGAAATCGCCTTTCTTCTCAAGAAGAATCGTTTGTTAAAGAGGCTCAAACAAGGCAGGTATGTGATTTTGGGTGTTTTCTTTGAAGCTTTTGACTCAATAAACCTCGTTTTAGGCGTTGTTTTCTTGTGGGTTTGATGGGATTTTGAGTTTGAGTGATGTTTTGAGGTGTTTTTTCAGGAAGCAGAGGCTAAGACTATGATTATGGAACGAGAAATTGGGAGATTGCATGTGGAATTGGATGAGAAGGATGAACAACTCAAGACTTCTGCAAGTACAGCCACCAAGGTTTGAATCCCAAATCTGTTTCTTATAGAACTTTTCATTAAGTAATGAACTGGGGCCTGCGTAGATCCTTTGAAGTTGTATTGTTTATTGATGCTTTTGGCTATCATATTCTGGTTGTGATTGCTGTACTTTTCTCTTTATGGGTCAGTTTGGAGCAATAAAGTGCCCAAAAGGTCCAGCATCTAAGCCTCACCTCCCTTAATGCCTTTTTCTTTTGCCCTCTTTGTTTTCCTCCTTTCTTCTTTAGTGGGAAGATAGTTGGGGAAGTACGATTTGGTTACTTTTTTAGGACAATATTTGCTAGCGGTGGGCTTGGATTATTACAAATGGTATTAGGGCTAGACACCGGGCAGTGTGCCGGCGACGTCCTCGCCCTGAAGAGGGGTGGATTGTGAGATCCCACATCGATTGGAGAGGGGAATGAGTGCCAGCGAGGACGTTGGGCCTCGAAGGGGGGTGGATTGTGAGATTCCATGTTGGTTGGAGAGGGGAACGAAATATTCTTTATAAGGGTGTGGGGACCTTTCTCTAGTAGATGCGTTTTAAAAACCTTGAGGGGAAGCCCGAAAGGGAAAGTCTAAAGAGGACAATATTTGCTAGTGGTGGGTTTGGGCTGTTACAAATGGTATCAGGGCCGGACACTGGGCAATGTGCCAGCGAGGACGTTGAGCCCTGAAGAGGGGTGGACTGTGAGATCCCACATTGATTGAAGAAGGGAACGAGTGCCAGCGAGGACGTTGGGGCCTGAAAGGGGGGTGGATTGTGAGATTTCACATCAGTTAGAGAGGGGAACGGAATATTGTTTATAAGGGTGTGGAGACCACACGTTTAAAAAACCTTGAGGAGAAAACCCAAAGAGGACAATATCTGCTAGTGGTGGGCTTGGGCTGTTACAAATGGTATTAGAGCCAGAGACCGGGCAGTGTGCCAGCGAGAACGCTGAGCCTCAAAGGGGGGTGGATTGTGAGATCGCACATTGATTGGAGAGGGGAACGAAACATTCTTTATAAGGGTGTGGAAATCTCTCCCTAGTAAACACGTTTTAAAACCTTAAGGGGAAGCTCGGATGGGAAAACCCAAAGAAGACAATATCTGCAAGCCTACAAGCCCACACCGTTACATGTAGACTTTGCTCGTGTCTTTACCTGAATAAGAATTGTAGCAAACAACCAAACACTGCCTTCCTTTTCTTGAGCTATCTGGTTTATAATTCCTCCCTACTTTTTGTAATCAATATACCAATTCTCTATTACCTTCATAGGAGTTCTTACTTGCATTATAACCCAGCAATATGATGGTAGCTTCTCAGATTCGTTAGCTTATTTAAATTCGTTAAGGTGTTATCAACGTACATTATCGATGAATGTTACCGACATGTTGTTCAATGCAGTACCTCCACGAGCTGGATGGACTGAGACTACAGCTCGCTGCCACTCAAGCAACAGCTGATGCAAGTGCTGCCTCAGCTCAATCAGCACAGAACCAGTGTTTAGCGCTTTTGAAGGAACTAGACGAAAAGAACATGTCTTTAAAAGAGCACGAAGATCGTGTAAAAAGGTTGGGAGAACAACTCGACGATCTACAGAAAGATCTTGTGGCAAGGGAATCATCTCAGAAGCAGCTGAAAGATGAAGTGTTGAGAGTTGAGCATGAGATTATGGAAGCTCTAGCCAAATCTGGTGTGAGCAAGGATTGTGAATTGAGGAAGATATTAGATGAGGTTTCTCCCAAGAATGTTGTGAAGATCAATAGGTTGTTGATTGCAAAAGACGAAGAGATAGCAAGATTAAGAAATGAAATCAAGACAATGACTGCTCACTGGAAGCTGAAAACCAAGGAGTTGGAATCACAAGTATGTAAACTTCTTTGGCTCGATTGCGTATAGTGTACTTTCTCGTATTGTTTTCGTGTTCGTTTATGTATTTTGATGTTCTTATCGACAGTTAGAGAAACAACGACGAGCTGACCAAGAACTGAAGAAGAGGGTGTTGAAGCTGGAGTTCTGTTTACAAGAAGCTCGCACTCAAACACGAAAACTTCAAAGGGTAAACACTTTGATTTGTTTAGAATTGGACGGTTTATTAGCTTTAGTGTAGATAAGACTTAATTCGTTGGCTTGGTGGGATATTGTTTTTGGACCACCTTTCATGGTTGTGAGATCCCACGTTGATTGGAGAGGGGAATGAAACTTTCCTTATAAGGGTGTGGAAATATCTAGTAGACACGTTTTAAAACCGTGAGGCTGACGGTGATATGTAATGGGCCAAAGTGGACAATATATGCTAGTGGTGGACTTGGGCTATTACAAATGGTATCAGAGCCAGACATTGGGTGGTGTGCCAACGAGGATGCTGGGCCTCCAAGGGGGGTGGATTGTGAGATCCCACATTGGTTGGAGAGGGGAACGAAACTTTCCTTATAAAGGTAGAAACCTCTCCCTACCAGACGTGTTTTAAAATCATGAGGTTGACGGCGATACGTAATGGGTCAAAGCAGGCAATATTTGCTAGCGGTGGGCTTGGGCTGTTACATGTGCCAGCGAGGACGTTGGGCCCCTAAGGGCGGTGGATTGTGAGATCCCACATTGGTTGTGGTGGGCTTGGGCTGTTACAAATGGTATCAGAGCTAAACATCAAGTGATGTGCCAACGAGAATGTTGGGCCCACATTGGTTGAAGAGAGGAACAAAACTTTCCTTATAAGGGTGTGGAAACCTCTCTCGATTAGACACGTTTTAAAATCGTGAGGCTCATGACGATACGTAACGTATCAAAATGGACAAATATCTACTAACGATGGGCTTGGGCTGTTATAAAAAGACTCTTTCAAATGAAAGATCAGCGAATGAACCGGAACCATTAATTCCTTGTATTCGCTTCCCTTATTGAATGAAGGAAGTAAACCCAAGGAGTGTGGACGGTGAGATCGCACATTGGTTGGAGAGGGGAACGAAACTTTCCTTATAAGGGTGTGGAAACCTCTCCCTAGCAGACGCGTTTTTAAAACCATGAGGTTAACGACAATATCTACTAACGCCGCTTGAGCTGTTACAGTAGCCTAGACCATAAAACCAATATTGAAAAACTGGCTTCCTTACTAACCCTCATACAAAAATAATGTACGAGTTGGTCTTATAGATGAAACTAACATGTATTTGGTTCGTAACAGATTGGAGAACGACGGGAGAAAGCCATAAAGGAACTTCGAGATCAGTTGGCAGGAAAGCAAGGTGGAGCTAGTTCTACTACCGAATCTGAAAAACTAAAGTTTTGGGAAACCTCGGGGTTCAAGGTTATGGCTTCGATGTCGATGTTGATACTCGTAGTATTTTCGAAGCGATGAGGTACATCATTAGAATGTATAGTAGTGTAGGAAGTAGCATGGTAGAGGAGAACTTTGTCCTTGTTCTCCATTTACAGATTTACAGAGGAAGTGATTCTGTATTTATATGTAGAACAGCCTATCTTAGGCTAGCAACTAATTGTAGCCACTCATCTAGGTCATATAGAAACTCGGTCAAATTCGAGACTTCGACTAACGGTATTTGTTCGTTACTATCTCGATTTCTAGTGTTTTCAATTTTTTTTTATTGTTGTGAATAAAACATATCAAGCATTAGCATCCTTACTCTTAGGGCTCGAGTCGCTTGCGAACTTGACAATTTTCCGTTCATAATTGTAGTACCTCCATTTCCTTAAGAAGATGGCAGATGATGAAAACCGTTGAATGTTACTTTCGTCAATTCTGCCATCAACATCGTCTAGATCACCACATGACTCAAAATTTGTATCAACGGTCCTCGTGATTTTCAACGCAATGATCAAACTCTAAACTCTTAATCTCTGGGTTATCACAATTGATCCGTTGCAAAACTTCATATTTCAATTTCCAATAAGCTTTTCATTAACTGTGCTCGATTACAAAATAATGCTTTGAACTCGAATCACACTCAGACCTCTCATGTATTTGAACTAGGGACATCTAGTGTATGAGATTAGCATGATAACCAACTACACCACCCAGACAGGTTGAGATTCCAAAATAGCGATTTGAATTCGAAAAAAATGTTTGAGCCTAGGTTCAAACTAGGGACACTCGAGAAAGTTGCTTTGGAAAAAGTAAAAACATAATTTTAAAAATGTTTGAGCCTAGGTTCAAACTAGGGACTTTTAGTGTGTGAGACTAGCGATATAACCAACTACACCACCCAGACAAGCTACTCGAATCAACAGTGAAAACGCTTATCAGGAAAAAGCAGAAACATAATTTTAAAAATGTCTGAGCCCAAGTTCGGGCTGTGGACCTCTAGTGTGTGACTAGCGTGATAACCAACTACACCACCCAGACAAGCTAAGAAACCAAAATAACGATTTGAGCTCGAACCAAAAGTGAAAACCTTGTTCAGGAAAAAGTACCAAAATAACGATTTGAGCTCGAACCAAAAGTGAAAACCTTGTTCAGGAAAAAGTAGAAACATAATTTTAAAAATGTCTAAGCCCAGATTCAAATTGGGGACCTCTAGTGTGTGAGACTAGCGTGATAACCAACTACACCACCCAGACGAGCTACGAAATTAAAATAACGATTTGAACTCGAATCAACAGTGAAAACGTTGTTCAGGAAAAAGTAGAAACATAATTTTAAAAATGTCTGAGCCCAGGTTCGAATTGGGGACCTCTAGTGTGTAAGACTAGCGTGATAACCAACTACATCACCCAGACAAGCTGACAAACTAAAATAACGATTTGAACTCGAATCAATGGTGAAAACGTTGTTCAGGAAAAAGTAGAAACATAATTTTAAAAATATCTGAGGCCAGGTTCGGGACCTGTGATAACCAACTACACCACCCAGACAAGCTAAGAAACCAAAATAACGATTTGAGCTCGAACCAAAAGTGAAAAAAAAGTGAAAAAAAAAGTGAAAACGTTGTTCAGGTAAAAGTAGAAACATAAGTTTAAAAATGTTTGAGGCCAAGTTTGAACTGGGGACCTCTAGTGTGTGAGACTAACGTGATAACCAACTACACCACCCAGACGAGCTAAGAAACCAAAATAATGTTTTGAACTCGAATCAATAGTGAAAATGTTGTTCAGGAAAAAGTAGAAACATAATTTTAAAAATGTCAGAGCCCAGGTTCGAACTGGGGACCTCTAGTGTGTGAGACTAGCATGATAACCACTGACCAACCAAAATAATGATTTGAACTCGAATCAACCGTGAAAACACTGTTCAGGAAAAAGTAGAAACATAATTTTAAAAATGTCTCAGTTCAGGTTCAAACTGGGACCCCAGACAAGCTGACAAACCAAAATAACCTAGCGTGATAACCAACTACACTACCTAGACAAGCTAAGAAACCAAAATAACGATTTGAACTCGAATCAACATTGAAAACGTTGTTCAGGAAAAAGTAGAAACATAATTTTAAAAATGTCTGAGCCCAAGTTCGAACTGGGGACCTCTAGTGTGTGAGACTAGCGTGATAACCAACTACACCACCCACACAAGCTGACAAACCAAAATAACGATTTGAACTCGAATCAACAGTGAAAACGTTGTTCAGAAAAAAGTAGAAACATAATTTTAAAAATATCTGAGGCCAGGTTCGAACTGGGGACCTATGATAACAAACTACACCACCTAGACAAGCTAAGAAACCAAAATAACGGTTTGAGCTCGAACCAAAAGTGAAGGGACCTGTGATAACAAACTACACCACCTAGACAAGCTAAGAAACCAAAATAACGGTTTGAGCTCGAACCAAAAGTGAAAACGTTGTTCAAGAAAATGTAGAAACATAATTTTTAAAAATGTCTGAACCCAGGTTCAAACTGGGGACCTCTAGTGTGTGAGACTAACGTGATAACCAACTACACCACCCAGACAACGTAAGGAACTAAAATAATGATTTGAGGTCGAATAAACCGTGAAAACGTTGTTAAGGAAAAAGTAGAAACATAATTTTAAAAATGTCTAAACCTAGGTTCGAACTGGGAACCTTTAGTGTGTGAGACTAGCGTGATAACCAACTACACCACCCAGACGAGCTGAGAAACCAAAATAATGATTTAAGCTCGAACCAAAAGTGAAAGCGTTGTTCACGAAAAAGTAGAAACATAATTTTAAAAATGTGTGAGCCCAGGTTCGAACTGGGGACCTCCAGTGTGTGAGACCTGCGTGATAACCAACTACACCACCCAGACAAGCTGAGAAACCAAAATAACGATTTGAACTCGAATCAACAGTGAAAACGTTGTTCAGGAAAAAGTAGAAACATAATTTTAAAAATATTTGAGCCTAGCTTCGAACTGGGGACCTCTAGTGTGTAAGATTAACGTGATAACCAACTACACCATTCAGATAAGTTAAGAAATCAAAATAACGATTTGAGCTCGAACCAAAAGTGAAAACGTTGTTCAGGAAAAAGTAGAAACATAATTTTAAAAATATTTGAGCCCATGTTCGAACTGGGGACCTCTAGTATGTGAGACTAGCGTGATAACCAACTACACCACCCAGACAAACTAAGAAACAAAAATAACGATTTGAACTCGAATCAACAATGAAAATGTTGTTCATGAAAAAGTAGAAACATAATTTGAAAAATATCTGAGCCGAGATTCGAGCGGGAGACCTTTAGTGTTTGAGACTAGCGTGATAACCAACTACACCACCCAGACAAGTTGAGAAACTAAAGTTTAAATCAACAGTGTATACGTTGTTCAGGAAAAAGTGAAATCAAAATAACGATTTGAACTCGAATCAACAGTGAAAACGTTGTTGAGGACAATGTAGAAACATAATTTTAAAAATGTATGAGTCCAGGTTCGAACTTGGGACCTATAATAGCCCAAATATAAATAAAGAAATAAACAAATAAAAAATAATTATAAAAAAAATATTTAAAATTATAAAATAATAAAGATTAAATAAAAATTAAAAGAAGAAAAACATTTGTCAAGGATACCTCCTCCTTCCTTCAATCTCTCACCACTCTTTCCCTAAAAATAAATATGGCAACAAATCACCAATCTCTTTTCTGTAAAAATAACTGCAGATTTATCCAGAATTTTCTTCCTACAAAAACAAATAGAAAAAGAAAACAAAAGGTTTAAGCAGACTAGCTCTGCGGGAGGAGATATGTCATTTGAAAAGGTCAGTATGTTAAATCTTCATTTTATTTTATTAAATAATATTAATTTGGTTACAATTATTTAGTTTTGAATTAGAGATTAAATGAAAAGAATTCTGTATGAGTTTAGAAAATCAAAAACAAATTATATTTTAAATCTACTAAATTGTTGGAATGATTTAGATCTAATGAATTGTTACCATGATTTAGGTTGTAATTTTATATGAATTATAGGAAAAGAATATAAGAATACATTAAATTAAAAGCTAAGAATATAGTTGTTAACTAAATTAGAAAGAAGACAAAGGAAATAAGAAAAAAAATGAGATAGAGATAGAAATACAGAACTGAAAAGAAAAATAATAATAAAAATAAAAAAGGGAAGATTTGGAAGTAGGAATAGATTAACAAAATTAAATAATACCTTCTTAAAAATAATTACAGAAGAAGAGGAAAGATTTGTTGAATAGGATTTAACAGTAAAACAGGAAATATCAGGGTGCAGTGAGCTCCTTTAAATTTTGTCTAATACGAAATATCACAATTTTACGATGGCCGATCTAAATTAGAGAAATAATTGTATAGAGTTCAAACTTGAAACTGATGTCATGAGCTCATATAGGTTGACTCGGATTTCAAAGGACAGAATCGAACTTTTATTAAAGATATATTTGTGACAATGACTTAAGCGAGGCAGGTAAGTGACCTTACTATCGGCATGATTATATTTGATGTTGATACGTGCCCTGTGGTTCGGCACGTGTCATATATATTGATATGTGTGAATTGTCTATGGATCGATATGCTTCCTATATGTTATGTTATGTTATAATACGTGGATTGTATGATAATAATTATGGTACGATGTGCTCTAGGAGATGTTTGAGATAGGATACGAGAAGGATGCACATAACGAAATGTAACGATAGGAGTAAGATACGTTCATGAAACGTTAGAGTTAGGTTACATACTGGAGTGCTATGGATAAGAGAGATTGATGAAAGAATACGGTTAGGTTATGGGTAGAAAGGGATAGGTTTGTGATAGATTGATGGAACGATAGCATTAGGGTACGTTCTTGTGACGATATGACTAAGGTACGTCACGTAATGATATGTCTGTGATAGGTATAAGAACGTTAAGGCTATGGTAAGTTAGAGAACGATATGACTATGAAGTGTTTATATTATTGACTTGGTTATGATATGATACATTGTATGCTAGATTATTGTGCTTAAGTACGAAATCATGTGAACGTGAATGTATGTTATTTATGCTGCTTAGTTGATGTGATATGAATGCATATGACGATGTGTGGCCCTTATACGATTATGGCTTGTTGTATGAGTATTGGAATGTAACTGAATGAATTGTATGATGTGAAATACGGTAAATTGCGTTATACATAACCCCGCTAGGAATATGT